TATATCACTAACATGTCATGAGGATATATATATGAGCTATATTTTATTACAGTTCTAAAGAATTACATAAGCAATGATTAAGAAACGTGTCGAAAAATAGATCCAATCAAATAGTTTTCATATGATTAGTAACAAGATCTACATTGTATTTCACATTTCAATCCCATTGGAATTGTACTAACAGCTTTTCTATTTAGAAATGTTCTTCAAAAAAACAAAAAACCAAATTTGAAAATTTCGTTTGAAAGTTGTGTCAAACAAAGAGGAAAAACATTCATAATAAGTATTTTAATGTCCAGAACTCTTTAACCTACACTCTTCCCCATCCATGTCCTCTATTCAACTTTCTCTAGTTTTGTCGTACGTTCCGCCCTTTACATGAAGTGTCGTTGATGGATGATTTCTCGTATAAAGTAAATTTATAATTATGCAAATCTTAGTTTATGCAGAAAAAGTCAAAAATAAAAAAAAAAAGAATTTTTTCTGAAAGATAAACATATTCTAATTAGTCGAAGTATTCACAAATTTATATTTTTCTATAATCCTATTCTAATTGACAAAAAAAAATGAATGACTTACAATAAAATCGAATTAATGATGTTTGAATATAAGAATTCTTCAATGAATTTGATTGAAGTTGTTGTTGAATACGAATACCACGATTATAATCATTGATTAAACTACAAGCATTTATTGCCATACTAATAGTATAATCGTTACATATTTCAAACTTTTGATCGAAAAGATCTAAAGCTTGTTCATATTTTTTAGCAGCAATGAGATCTTTAATTGATGTGTTTAATTGTGTTGATGATAAAATAATATTTTTTTTGTTGTTCTTATTTTGTGTTGATAATAATCTGTGACATCGGAATATAAAATTAATATTGTTTTTGATGATTGACATGTTTTAATCTAGAATAAAAAAAATTATATAGAAATACGTCTTTTTTACAAAAATAATTTAAAAAAAAATTGTAAAAAACTATTCTCTTTTAGTTACTAAGATAAAATCCCTATTGGACTCAGTTGCATACATCTCTTACATATATATAGGTATTTGAAAATATTCAATTGTAATGACACTACATTAAAAAAACAGATGTCACTCATTGTCGAAGATTTTTTTTTTTGTTATTCACCGTTTTTTTTCTTTGTACATATACGTTTCAATATATAAGTTACAAGTGTAGAATAATAAATCTTGTGTATGTGGGTTGAAGCTTACTTACAGGGATTACATACGAGTGCAATTTAATAGTCACTCTTTAATATTCATCCTTGGGAAGGTCTGAGATAAAGACCAATCGAGACTCTAGCAGGGTTCCATGCGTTTAACGTATGGCAGGTGATCAGAAAGCTTCCGGTGTGAAGTTACTTTCTCAATGGTAATGTACAAGATCAACATTTGTTGAGATACTCCCATTGAAAAAGTTGTGAAAGCCTGTGGTCAGCAACATGAAGTTCAATGAGTAAGATGATCATTATCCTATGATCAGAACTCAATTCAGACTACTCTCAACCTACATACTATTTTTATTTTTACATCACATATTTATTCTTCTTTATTAGATGCACACATATGTTTTCAAAAAAAAAAAAAAAGAAAAAGACAAATTAATAGTGTGTGTGTGTATATGACAGACAAATTTTTCAGTTACAGAAACGACAAACAAAAAGAAAAAAAAAATATATATGTATATTTGTATCTAGATTATCTTATTTACGATAAGTTGTAAATGAAGGTGAATTTGCTGATTGTGTTGATGAAGCGCCAAATGATGATGCTGCTGCTAAAATATAAATAATAAAATTTAAAAAAAAAAAAGAAATTTTTCAAAAGATGAATTAACTTACCACCAAAACCAGTTGTTTGCCCAGATGTTCCTCCAAATATTGAACCACCAAATGGTGATGATGTAGCAGTTGGTGATCCAAAAGAACCAAAACCTGATTGTGTTGTTGTCGGTGTTGTTGTTTCTGCAGGTTGAGCACCACCAAATCCACCAAATGAAAAACCAGTCGATGATCCAGACAAATTTGCTTGTGTGCCAAAACCAGAAAAACTACTACCAAATGCAGGTGTACTACTACTACTACCAAATAATGAAGTACCAGCTGTTGATTTAGCAGTTGAAGTAAATGGAAAACCACTACTACCAAATGCACTCGTACCCGATGTTGATGCTGTTGAAGTAGAACCGAAACCACCAAATGTTGCACCTGGAGATGCTGTCGAACTAGCACCAAATCCACTACCAAATGGAGATGTTGTTGTTGTACTACCAAATGTACTAGTACTAGGAGCCGTACTTGTTAAAGCAGCACCGAATCCACTACCAAATGGACTAGAAGTTGATGTTGTTGATGTACTACCAAATAGACTAGTACTAGGTGCTGATGTTGTTGTAGTAGAAGTGCCGAAGCCGCTGCCAAATAGACTAGAAGTTGATGTTAATGTTGCTGGAGTACCAAATATACCAGTGCCCGATGCTGATGTTGTTGCAGTTGTAGTAGTAGGAAAGGCCAAGCTAGTACCAAATGGAGTAGAAGCTGAAGTTGTTGCAGTAGCAAATAGACCAGTACTGGATGCTGATGTTGCTGGAGTCGAAGTCGTAGGTGTGCCGAATCCAGTACCAAATGGAGCAGAAACTGATGTTGCCGCAGTTGTTGTTGAAGTAGGAGTACCGAATCCGATACTAAATGGAGTAGAAGGTGATGTTGCCGCAGTTGTTGTTGTAGTAGGAGTACCGAATCCGGTACCAAATGGAGTAGAAGGTGATGTTGTCGCAGTTGTTGTTGTTGTTGTAGTAGGAGTACTGAATCCGGTACTGAATGGAGTAGAAGCTGATGTTGTTACAGTTGTTGTAGTTGTAGGAGCACCAAATCCCGTACCAAATGGAGTAGGAGTTGCGGATGCTGCTGTTGTTGTAATCAATGAACTAGGAGCAGATGTAGTTGTAATAGAAACATTACCAAATAATGATCCAGTATTCGCTGTTGTTGCTGCAGTAATACCAAATGGCGTAGTCGGTGATGTAGTAGGTGTTAAATTAAGTGCATTACTACCAAGTATTGGTTTTGAACCGAATGAACTTAGACCAGTTGATATAATTGGTTTAGTTGTTGGAGATATTGATTGAACAGATGTTGTTATTGTTGTTGTTGGAGCTTGATTTGTTACTTGTGAAGTTAATGCATTAGGAATATTTGATTTAATAATTTGATTTGTTGTAGAATTAATTAATTGTTGATTTAAATTTGATGTTGGAGTTGGTGAAGTTGATACAGTATTATTATTAAGTAATGATCGTATAACACTATCACCTGATGTTTTTGTTAGATCAGTAGATGTTTGAATAAGTGGTTTATTTGATTGAATTTTTGATGATATATCTGATGATATTGTTGGTGTTGCTGGTATAATAGAAATATTTGGTATAGGTGAAGTAACAGTTTTAGCTGGTATTTGTACAATATTTGTTGATGGTATTGTTGTATTTAAGGATTTTGTAACAGTTGGTGATTTTGAATGAGTTGTTGTTGTTGTTGTTGTTGTTGTTTTAGGTATAGTTGGAGTCTTATTAATTGATATTGTATTAGATTTTTGTATTGATGATGATAATGGACTTGTTGAAATTGTATTTGATAATTCACGTAATTGTTCCGGACTTGCTGCACCAGAATATAGATCGATTGATGCTCGAACAATACGTAACATTTGTTTAAAACTTTCAGATTCAATTGTTGGTGAAGAATTTGTCTGTATAGGTGTTTGTGGTTTAGTTAGTTCAATAGTTGAAGATTTTTTTTGTTCATTTACTGATGATAAATGGATTAATGGTGTTTGTGGTACATAAATTTCATCAATATCAGGATGAGTAGCTTGTAAATATAATAAAATTTCTGAATCTAATGGATGAAATAATTTCTGAGACGACATTGTCGTCTTTGTTAAATTTGAACTAAACAAAAAAAAAAAAAGAAAATATATAATTAGAAAATTTATAATCATACTCATATTGTTTGCTACTCAATAAATCTTTATTAAATTTTGTATAAATAATTTGTAAATCTTTTTCTATGTCAGATACTTTATGACTAAGTTCACGTAGACGTTTTTGAATTCCTTGTTTCATTGTTTGAGATGTATTTAATAGTTCTAAATCAGGTAGAAAATCTCTAAAGAAAAAAAAAAAAAAAAATACAAAAAATAAATTTTGTTTTTTTCTTTTAACGAACTCATTTTCAATATCATTATCATCTCTAGATAATGATTTATTATGTATTGTTTTATGTGTTAATTGTAATAAAACATTTAAATTATGTTTAACTTGATCATATTTATTTTTAATTGAATCAAGACGTGTTTGTGTCCATGGATCAAGTTCACGATCTTTTAATAAATGATAAAAATTTTCTTTTTGACATAATTTTATTTGATGACGAGCATTTTCAATTCTTGTTATAGATTCTATATGTTCACTTGTCATTGTTTTTATTGATTGAATTGATGTCTAAAAGAGGATTTTTGTTTTGTTTTATTTGATTGATATAAGGAAAAAAAAAGGGAAGAGGATTTACTTGAAGTGATGTTGTCATATTATTAAGTGTTGTTATTAAAGTTTCTAAAGATTCGTCAAGATTAACAGTTGATTCAGATGTTTTAGATAATGGTATTTGTAGAGTTTTTAATTTCGATTGAATTTCATCAACCTAAAAGAAATTTAGAAAATCAATGCATAACAAAAATAATTAAATTTTAAGCATCCAAATGACATATGGACAAGATAATCTCGATCCAGCGAGACCGAAACCAGGATGAACACTTTTTTTGTATTAGAAATGATCTATCAAATTGTTATATTCTCACAAAGACCAAAACTAGGCTCAAAAATTTTTCTGATAGGAATCAAGACTAAAAACGATTAGTCTTGTTCATCATTACATCCGAGATACAATCATAAATAAATTTTTTATAGATGGTTCATTACACCTTTGGCTTTTTTTTTTTTTACCAATAATGGAACATCCAACGTCATTTGATTTCATATATTTGGTTATAAGTAGATCTCTATAATGTACTAGAATCTGAATATGAAGGATATTTTTCGTATAAGAACGTCTATACAATCGAGAATATAATTACAAGAAGATTTTTCGTTTCTATATTCGAGTTCACTTACGTTACTAATAACAAGTAAACTCAATTTTTTTGAAAAATCTAAGCGTGTTCACAGAAAAAACAAACTTTGTATTGAGATTTTGTAGATGGACGAGTTCTCTACAAGTTGCATTATTTAATAATCAAAAATACGATTTCAACTTGCATGATTTGTCAATAAAAATTTGTTTTTTTGGTCGTACATCGATAGAGCTTCGTAACTCAATAGAACAAATGTCTATCGAGCTAAGTTTTTGAGGGTATCTAGAGTAACTCAACATAGATAAAGATTAGCTAGAAGAAATTCTCAAGTCAAAAGATATTTGTAGTTTTATTTTACGAAATTACATTGTTAAAGAATAAAATTGCTCAAATAGAGAAAAAAAAAATTTTTTTTTAATATCAATTTTTATAAAACCTCGATTTACAGAAGGCTAAAAATACGATAGCATTGTCTCATATAGATTTTATTATGACTCTCATATCTCATTGTTAATTCTCTATCATAAGCTAAGAAATCATTCCTCTTGTTTATCAAATATCGAACATCCTTAAGAGAACACTATTGTTTTATTGAAATAATTCTATCAAATATATACAAATTTATCGTATAAATCCATAGTGATAATAAAATTATACATATCAACTATCGGATGTCGTTCGATGTCACATTATGGTTATGAGTAGGTCTCGATGAGACTAAGAAGAGCTTAAAAAGATTCGGAACAATGACCCATTGTTGAAGAGTTATAGCCGTTTTAATGAACTTTTTACTAAGAACAAGTCATTTTTGAAATAAAGAATTTCGAGCTAAAACTTGACCTATAGGTATATTTGAAAATTTCGACGAAAGCAAACATATCTTTCTCGAGATATTCAATATCTAAAAACAACAGTGATTAATCATAGAAGGATGTTGTAATCGAGTCCACTTGGAAATTATGAATATCTAGAGAAAGATATGTTCGTTTTCATTGAAATTTTCAGAATTATCAAATGTACCTATAGATATAATTTCAGTTTGAAACTCTTTATTTTGGAAATTTCATTAAAACAATCATAACTCTTCAATAGTTGACCATGGAGCCAAATCCTTTTAAGCTTTTTTTTTTTTTTACTCTCATCGAGATTTAGTCGTAGCCATAATGCGAAGTCAAACGGTGTCCGATAATTTGATCATATAGATTTATCATCGAGTATTATTAATAAAACCAGAGTTGTACAACATGAGATGCGATTGGTTCGTGTGTTTTTTTTTCATGAAATCGAACTATCATTTCTTTTTTTAAATTATCTATTCAAATGTCTAACACAAAGATTTTAGATTTCGAATATAAATACTCATCATTTTTTCTTAAATCATTTAAATTGAAAATTTTCTATTTTTTACCATTTGAGGAAGTTTTTTATTATTAGAAATTATTGTAGATGATTGATCATTATTTGTTGTAACTAAAATATATAGAATAATGACAAAATATTTTAAAAATTAAAATGAAAATTTACTTTTTGTTGTTGTTGTTGTTATTTTATTAAGATTATTCATATTTATTGATTTCGAAAGATCATCCATTGTTGATGTATTTATAGTTTGTACAGGTGATTGAATAGAACTTAAAATATTATTCATATTTTTTTCTTTTGATTGAGAATTAGTATTTGTTATAGATGGTGATGTAAATCCAAAATTTGTAAATGAAAATCCATTAGATGATGATGCTATAAAATAAAATAAAAAAAAAAAAAAAAACTTTTTTATTAGAAAATTTTTGAGATAATCTCATGAGAAATAAATTAAAAACAATCTAACATTTTACAAGGTTGATAGATGAGAATATTTAATTTAATTCATATTCTATTAATGCTAGACGATCATATCTCAAGTGACATTTATTCATTTAGAATAATAATAATAAAAAAAAAACACACGTATTTTTTCTTTACATTGCATGATCCAAACCAAACAAAAAAAAAGAATACTAATATAATTTTATTCTTATTGATGAAATCAAATGAAAATTTATAGTATAAGAAAATTATTATTTTGTCAAAAGATATTATATATTCTATTAGACAAATGGTTCATATTATTATCTGTCTACATTAGAGTAGACTAATATAATCTTTTAGATGATTGCTGTGTTGTTACTTGAACTTTCTGTTCATCATTAGATAATGTTCTTCCTTCTTTCTTTTTCTCTTATATATGATTGTTATCTGACACTCGACTCATCACTAAAAACAACCCATACCATATAGATATTATATAATATCTTTCTTCTTTCATAATGTTCATCTAACAGATTGTTGTTGTTATTTTCTCGACATTCCCCCGAAACTAACCAAGATAGGGCAACAATATAATAAATAATCTTATTCTTATACGAGGGTAAGTAGAAGCAGAAAAAAAAGAAAAAGAAAACCTTACATGTTGTAGCTGTTGGTTGACCTAAAACAAAAGGTAACATTTGTGATGATGATGTTGATGATGTTGTTGTTCCAAGAATATTATTCATTGACGATTGTAATGTTTGATTTGGTTTAATTATTTCAGGTATACGACATATTGATGGTAAACTTTTATGAATAAAATAATAAACTTGTAAAAGACCATCACTATTTGATATAAGTAACATAGGACATGGTGGTAATTTTCTATTCCCTTCAGATATTTCTAAAGTTGAATTAAGTCCAAGAGCCATACCAGTTAGAATAGGATGTTCATTACTAATATTTGTTACACTTTTAACAGTAGCTCGAAATTGATCAGCAAATGTCCATATATCAAGAGAATTCTATAAAACAAAAAAACATACATACATATTTAGTGATAGGAATTTTCAATCAGTTTCTTTTCTTTTTTTTTTGTTTTGATCTTAATGATAATAATCATAATGGTCATTATCCATTTTCTTTTTCTCATGATAATCGCATGTTCGTTATGTTTTATTTTTTTCTTATCAAGATTTCGATAAATTTCTTTTCTTATTATTTTTCTATTCTTTTTGACAGATGGTTCCAATGCGTGAGAAAATTAATCATTAACTTTGAACTCTTTTCTATGATAAATAGAAATTAACCGCACTTGTGTCATGGTCTCTCGGGCGTTGTTAAACACATCTGGTACATGCTTGAATGATATTTGGTCTTGATCATATAATAGTTAAGAATTATTTTAGCTATTAATTAAAAAGATTTCTTTCTTATATATTAAGACACAGAGAAATAAAATATATATATATATATATGAATCAACTATATGTATATTAATTAGATGACACTATTACGTTAGATATCTATAAGTTGACCATGAAATGTGACATATCTATAAAAAGATTGTATATATGTTCGATCAAGTTGAACATTTCAATTAGTAAATCGAACGAAGACAGTTCAAGTATTCATGCTGTTCAAACTTCGCATATATATCAATCTATATAACCATCGTATTCAAGGTAAATAGTATTGCACGGCATGTGCGCACACATATATATAGATGTAACTTGAGATGAATGCCTTATTAACCAACGTTGAGACTATCACCTGCCGAGTAGTGATATGTTCTCGGACATATAGTAATGATGATGATAGTGTTAATTTATTCGGATCGATTAAAACTAAAGAAATGGTTTCGGATATTTTCGAATAATTTGTTTTTTTCTTTTTATTCGTTTGATTATGAACAACTGCAATTATTGTTAGTATTTTATAGATGGCATCGAATTTCTACTGAAAAAAAAGCAAAGAGTTCTAAATGAACAACTATCGGTCAAGGGCAAGTGAGTGATGAGTATTGATGAGAAGAGAGAGAGAGAGAGAGTGCTGAATGAATATATTCAGCTCCTTTTTTTTCCCTCTTTCTATCATTTTTTTTCTATCTTATGCCTATTCTCGTTACGTTCTTTTTTTTTATACATATTCAGTTCTCTATCTGATTTCAAGGTATACATAATTGTACATCTTGACCATATTAACAAGATCATCATTATTCATTGTTTATGTATATAAGAATAACAAGTAAGAGAGAGAAAAAAAATGAGCTTGAATGCTTGACACTATCATTATAACTACAAAAATATTTATGTATGAATTGCGTAAGTTCTTTTTTTTTTTTTTTTCTTTCTTCTTGTTCATTTGTAAACGGTTCAATTAACAAGGACATATGCTACACATGTTTGTTAATGACTAGTATTGATTATTATTATCAATTACATTTGAGTGACAGTAAATTTATTTGAGAAAATGAATTCATTTAAGCGAAAAATAAATGAAACTTGATTACACCATCAAGCTGTGATTGCCTTGATCAAACAAAGGAATTAGATGTACATATAGAATGAGTGAGAGAGAGAGAGAGAGAAAAGATAGCAACGGCATAACCTCTATCATTAAGACTTTTTTTTGTAATGTAACCAACGCGTGTGTTTATGTGCATCAGTAAGATTACGTATTTTGTAGTTTTAATAATGAAAATTAAGAACAAGAGATAGTTTTATCTTAAGTAGCTGTAAGATACATCCTTGGTATAAATAGATTTTTCTTTCATTAAGAGTTTTTCTTCGACCAGACACGCTTACACATCATCTTTCATGTTTCAGTTAGTCATCATGTTCAATCCATTAGTCACACTATTGCATCATCACATCGACACACATACAAATATATACATATATAACTAGGCGCATACCATAACGACAAGAATGAGACACTTGTCCGGTTCGTATTGATCGAGAGAAAATGGCATTATTCTTAAAGATATGGTTAGCAGTGTGTGTGGAGGAGACAGACAGAAAGCATGAATTAGAGGATAAAGGAAGAAGAAGAGAAAAAGAAAAAGTGAACATTAAACAGACACTCCACCTCACACAAATGCACATCTTATGAAAGAAGTAGCACTATGATGGTAAGTTGTTTGCTATGTCCGGTCGTGCACGTTTACTTTAATAAATTGCTTTCTTTTTTTTTTTGTGTATTAGCAGTACTATAGTTTCTTTCTTTTAGTCACATTCTACATCTCATATAATTTCATTATGAATATCTTATCATTTTCAATAACAGAGAAGAAAAATGACTAAAGAGCAAGTATACTAATACATGTACATATATGTATATACATAAACATGCATTATCTTTTTGAATAATAGTCGATGAGTGATGACTGTATGTCAAGTCTACATATATTCATAGTCAACTTTAATATTTCACTTTTTTCCTCCTTTCAGTTTGTATGTCCATCTGTCTATCTGACTGACAATAGCGTGTTATAGTACAGCAAAAAAAAAAGAGAATCTATTGCCGTACATATGCATTTTGATTACCTTCGTCTCATATATCTATACATTAAAGAGCATTTGAAATGGATATTTTATTGACCAATAGTCATCCTCTCATACTTCCCGTTTCTTAGTATTTCTCTTCTCTTTAATAATATAAGGGCAGAGAAAAAAAGACGCGATAGAGAATGAGAGAAGCAAAAAAAATAGCCTCAATAAATGTGAAGCTGATTATCAGACGAATAAAAATAAGACGAACACGAGAGAGAATAGCCACAACTACGATACGATTGAAGAGATGATGTCTTAGGAGAAAGAGCATAGAAGAATAAATATATATATATATATATATTCTCTTATTCAAACAAGAAAAAAAAAATATATATAAGAGAAAAGATCAACAGTTCCGGTAGACGATCGAATATAAGTTTTTTTTTTCTTTTTCTCTTGAACAATACATCCAAACGAGTACATTAACAAGATCAATTGGCAATCAACCATAGTACAGTTAGTCTCCGATAACAATGAAAATATATAGATACTTTCTAAGTATTCTTTCTTTTTTTTAATTAGAAAATAACTATCTCTATTTATGTAAACTTCCGATAGTTTTATTTAATTATAAAATTAAGTATTAAATTAAAACTAATGGTAAGAATATTTTGTTTTCTTTTTTTTTTGGTAATTGTACACAAAATCTAAGAAGTATGGAAAAACTTTTACTAAAATAATTATTTTGCGGACTAAGATATTATACTATCATATAAAGTTCAACTCTATTAAATAGTGATATATATACATAGATTGGCTTCTTTTCTATGTTATAGAAACGGTACATTTCTGTATATACTATGTATTGATAACTTCGGACTAAACATTTTTATCAACGTGATATATAAACAAAAAAAAAGTGCAAAATATCAAATAAACAAAGAAGATTTTTGTTTTTCGGTGATGCGAGAAACAAAATCAATTATGACCGATTGTTGTTTGAGTTCATAAGATAGTTTCGATAAGAACAAAAAAAAAA